TGGTCTGGTTGCTATGGTTTTTGTGACGTTCAGCGTGTAGGGACGCACGTGCGCCTAGAATGTCGATGCCAGAGTTATAACCTTTGATGTCCCGAGATGTGCGTCCTTTTGTTGAATTACCTTGATTTTACCATTTTATTAGGAACCAGTCGATTGAAAATAATACTCAACGAAACTTCGTACTCAACGAAATGAACCAGTCGAATACAGTAAGCCCAATGTTTATATCATATTATAGGTGGCGCTTTCTCTGTTTGTTTTTTTTAAATACAGTAGTATTAATCATGGCGGATGATGCTGCAAAAAGAAGAGAGGCAAGACGACGTAGAATTCTTCAAAGTCCTGAAGAACGGATGAGAAAAATAGCTGGTGTTGGTTCAAATGGTACTGCTGGTGTGTTCCCATGTTCATTTTTGAGCTTATTATTTTCATCTAGGCCTAGGCCCCTATCTATCATTGAAATAAACGTTTCTAGGCCTAGGCCTACGCCTAGCCTACCACCATATATAGGGCCCCTGTACAATGTAGTATAGAAGTCGCTAAGGCATAGGCCTATAGAGTGGTGGTCAGACAAAACCCATAGGCCTATAGTCTAGGCCTACTAGCCTACACTAGGGCCTACCTACAGTAGGCCTATTTAGTCAAGACTTTTGTAAGTAAGTAACCAAGTAAGTACTAGAGAGAGAGAGAGAAAGCCCAGCAGTGACAGTGAGTGTAGTAGTGGCCTAGTCCTAGGCCAGACTGTAATAAGGGCTGCGTGGGGAATGTATCTATCATCCGTGCCATGCAAAATTTTGGCCTAGAGATAGGCCTGTGCATTTTGGAATGATTTCAGCGCAGATTTTGCCAAAAATTAGGCTTTGACCAAATCTTAATAATAATAAGCAGTGCAATACCTATATGTAGCAATTATGCACTTGTCAATTGTAGTCCATGGCCCCCCCCCCCCGGACCCGGGACTAAAATGCCGTAATCTGGACTTAACCGGGGATGTAATCTGCAAAATGGTTACATGCATGTACAAGTCCAGGCCACCTCCCTGCAATGCAGGGCATCGTTTTAGCTTACATCCCAGGCCAAGTCCTGGCCATCTACTCCTGTTAAAATGGCCCTCTAAAAGATGAGCGGATGATGATGTGACCTAGGCATATTTCCATGGAAAATTTCGTATAGTATTATATATAGTATATCCTGTATTGTAATTCCCAGCAAATTTTATTAATTTATTCTGTGATCATTGTAAAAAATAGCCTATAATTTATGAAACCATGATGGTAGTCCTACAGTACTGTACCGGTAGGAAGGCTTGTTTTTTAATTATGAAAACAATAAAGCCAATTGCAGAGTGTACATCTACTGTTTTGGTACGTCCCGGCATTACGGGGACACAGCTATGTGTACATTTCCAGCTCAGTTTCTGCTAGTGCCTGCTATGGCCCAGGTCCGGGGGCCTTGACTACAACCAAGTGCTTACAATTCCATGCGCATTTTTTCCTATAGATTTTCCACGCAAAATTGAGCTGATTTTTTAGGTATCATCTGCACACTTAAAAAACTTTACAGTACGATAGGTAGGGCTTACTGTAGTATGTTAAAAAGAAAACATGTAAAAGATAAGGATACCAGATGCTAAAAAGTAGATTTTATTCAAGTATTAATTTAAAAACATCAGCTACAGTGAAAATAAAAGTTGAAAACAAAAGAAATGTGACCTTTATTAAACTTCTGCAATCTGTATTAATGCATGGCATTATCGATATCCAATGCCAGCCATTTTCAAAGATATTTTAAAACCTATAACAACAGCAACACTCTGACAAGGCAGTGAAAGCCCATCGTTGAACGAGTGCCCAAAAACAAGGAAGTGTGAGATTACGATTTGAAAGTACATACCTAGTCTAGGCTAGGTAAGATTAGGTCAAAGCTTACTTTTCGACAAAATCTTTGTAAAATTTGGCCCTTCTTTTTCAAAATGTGTTGACGGAATTTGTATTCTGGTCTAAATTTTTGCAGGAAGGACAGCCTATATTTCCCATGTACACCTTACTTTCCAGATTGGGACACCACAGAGATGTAATACTGTATGTAGTAATAATGTAGGCCTATAATAATGGAGCAAAAAAGAATCAAGATAGGCTCTGGCCTGGAACTAGGCCTAGCAGGTTTCTCAGCAGGTCCCGCTCTATTCGCTTGCCTATCCTTCTAGGCCTGCCCAGCCTTCGATTTACCCGGTATCGCATCGCAAAATGCGATAAGTTTACACTTATAGCGAAGCACTTCCACAAATGCATCACAAACAAATGCGACGCAGTTATTTGCCTAGAATGAACCACTCAGTCTTCAGCAAGGCCTGGCTGTAAAAACTAAGAGGCTTGGTGCACAAGAAAGTCTCGAAAATTTTTTTTTAAACAGTCAAAATCAAGTTGTTATCCAATGTTTTGGGCACAACAGTATGCATGTTTACATCGAGTTCACACATAAAATGCTCCCTACATGTACATAAACCATTTTTTTACTTAAATAGTGTTGGAATAAAAAGACGCATCACTATGATTTTCTATTGAAAAATGTGTCATTTCTTTTCTTCAATAATCGTTCACTATCACCGCAGAAAAAAACGCTATGCACAATTTTGGAATTGCTACACAACACAAAAAGTGCAAAGCAGTTTTTGCTACACACAAAAATTGCTGGAAATCGAAAGCTGGCCTACTGGATTTTTGAATTGTTTGTACAGTACACGGAAAGTTATTAATGCTTATTTATACTGCTTATCCACGATTTCTTTGCAGATCCCAATGGTATTGACGGACATAATCAAATGTGTTCAGGGCCAGCGAACACTAAAACTTGTCCAGAGACTAACAAAGAATACAAAGTTAACCCAGAAACTGAAAACATTCCATGCGCCCACAGAATCCTTGACCAAGCATCTGAACAGAGAATGCAACAAGAAAGTAAACTGACCAATAAAAAAGATGAAGCCAACCAAGAATTTACAGGAGGACAAATTCCTGATGGACAATTTGAGCAAGCCCAGAAGGAAGCTTTGGAAAAGGGTAGCAATGAGGAAAGAAGGTGGTCGATATCTGCACAGAATTGTATGTTATCGATCGGGTTGGGAGTACTTTTGAGAGTGGTCTTGTGGCTTAACATTGCAGTGTTGAGTAATCAGGTAAATAAATCAGTGTTCAATAAATTAAAATATTTGTGTTTGAATAACAACATAATCATGTGGATTGAATTCTAAAAATATTACAAATAGAAATGAAAGGACCAATTTATGGAGTACGTCTACTTGACGTGCCATTATACAGTCCTGCATTATTTTTGTGGCAAAGACAAGCCAAACCAGTCACTTGTCGCAAATTGTGTTTCAGAGATAATGGCCAAAACATCCTGAAATGTCAAATTGTTTGAAATCTATTTTATTGCACAAAACAAACTTTTATATATATACCTATACCATACCTATACCATCCTAGCTAGTCTAGGCCTAGAGTAGGATAAGGCTAGCGCAACATGCGGACATTGGTACGTGTTGGTTAGTCTACAAACGACACATAAAGTAATTAATTTTACCCGGCAGAACGAAAGAAGGAAACTCCACTTTTTAGTCATCTTAGGCACTTGTTCTTTTTGACAAACAATGACCTATCAGAAGTCAAATTGCTGTCAAGAATATGAATTGGCTGCTTCGCAGCAAAAACATCGTAATGTGCTGTTATTTTCCCCATTTTCAATGTTAAAATAACAATTTTTAACAATTTGTTGATAGTTTATGCCTGAGAAATGCACAAAATCATAAAATTTGAAGGCTGATTTCTCAAATATTGTTCTTTAAACAGCTGTATGTTTAAACGCTTGTAACTAAATAAGGAAATGTCGGATTTAAATGATTTTTTAAACTATTTTATAGCTCTCATTTTTAAACCTGTATTAATATCAACAAATCGATTTTTGCGATGAGTGAATGGATTGGCTTGTCTTTGCCACATTTGTAATTAAGGTTACCAAATATACAACATGTACTATATTCTGAACCGGAGTTGTTGAAACACACAAAGTATTCATTGTGGTGTTAGTAGTTTGGTGCCTAGGGAACGGTTCCTTGAGATCAGGGTTTCAATCCCTTGCTGTGCATTTCGTTTGTGCCCATGAGCAAGGTTCTTTGCCTGCATTGCTTCTCTCCAGCATGGAGTATAAATTAGTACCTGGTGGGGTTGTCTTCTACTGCGCCATTAAGGAAGCGACACTTAATGACAAGGAAAAAAACCGCTTAGTATTAGCAAGGAAAACCACAAGCATCTAATAAAAAGTTGTTCTAAATGCAAATACCTTTGTGTTCCATACATTTAGTTTTTAATTGTTTATTTTGTTAAACTTAAAAAATAATTGTTTTCAGGTGCACTCAAACATAGATATTTTATTTGAATAAAAAAATAAATAAAATAAAATATTAATATAAATAAATATGAAATAAAAAATAAAAATAAAATATATAAATATAAATAATAAAATAAAATAATAATATAAAATAGAATTATAATAAGAATACTGGAGCACTAACTTTCATTGCATTTGATGTTCCTAAAATGCAGATCTGTGTACAGTATTGGTACTCAGCAAGATGACTCTCAGATTCAGCCAATCAAAAAACACCTATGCTTCGTTTTTAAAATGGCACCTTCACTTTAACATGAAATTTTCTGAGTACGGCTAAGTTACCTGTATGTTAAGCTTGAGCGTTGTTAACAACGAGTAATAGAATATTTAGTCAGAGGATATGATGTGGGTATCTGTTTTTTCAGAGTATAACAGCTTCTCTACAGCGACCATCTTGATTTACCTTGATTTTGAAGCTAAAGCATGAATACTTATTTGCCCCTCTGTCTGAGTCTCTTACATAATCTTACAGCATCTTGTATGGTACACATACTCAACTCTAATTTGCTTGCCCTAGTTGTTATGCACTATACCCATCTTTTATAGAATCATATGTTTCCTTTGACTCATAAAGTTATAATTATTATAATATTTGTTGTGTATAGAAGCTTGTGAAGTTTATTAAATTTGAAAGAAAATAGTACAGTAAATGATAAATACAGCACTATTATAATTTCAGTCAGTAGTTGTTGAATTCCTGATTGTCAACATTATCATATGGATGAGATTCAATACTTTGTCAGACGTAAGTTGTAAAATATCTTTTTTTTTTCTTTGTACAGTAAACTTGAATTTTGTTTCGTTTGTCTTAATAAATGTGCAAAATGTCACAAAGTTTCACTTTGTTGAAGATGTATTTGGTCCTCTGAAAAATCAGTAAAATCTATATTTGAATTAATTTTCCCATTTTTAAGTACTGTAACTTAAAAATATGTGACATTGTTTATTTTTCCAGTTACTGGAATTCTTTCTTTGATTTTATCATTACCTGGTTTAAAAATCAGTGTAGACATTTTCTAAATACACTTTTTATGCTTAAATTGATAATTTTTTATGTTGAATTTACCAGGAGACGATAAATCTATAGATCGCCAATAAGGAGAGCGGCAGATGTAGATCCAGGATTTTTTTTTGCTATGGGTGGGGGGAGAGGGAGGCACCAGGGGAATTCAAGGGCCTATGTTTCTTGGGTGAGGTGGAGCTGATAGAAAGGGCTTGAGATGTTCCCTTTACATCTTTTGGGGGTCTAGGAGAGTCGTACTTTGTTTTAGCCATTTAAATCTCTTATCTAAATGGTTTTTACACTTGGTGTGTGATTTTTATTTTTTGTCTTCTGCCAAGGGTGGGGAGAGAGGAAAGCTCAAGTGAGTGCTCGTTTTGCCATCACCCAAATTTTACCACTAAGTAACTGATACATAATCAAAGATGATATTGATATTTTTCATTATAATTGATTGGTTCTGTCACGTAGTTGTAGCTAGGGGCGAAAGGGCCCTAGTGAAAGATTAATTGCCTGGCCCTTTGAATTGATAGGGAATTCCCTAAAGTTTTTTGGAAATCCATCGTAAGAAGTGTTTATTTTACCCCCTAGTCCTGAAGTCATAGACTATTAATAGATACTAATGATAATCAGATTCGTAACTATTTTAATAGGGGGCATATTTCTCAGCAGCTGTTTTAAACAGATAAAGAACATTGGTGGCACAATTGCAGTGGCCGATCAGCAATTCAAAATAGAGGGGGGCCAGGGATGGATTTTCACAGGTGTAAGATAAAGACTACCTCAGCCCCACCATGGTAGGGGGTGAGGTATGAACATTTATAATTATAGCACCTCTAGATGGCCAGAAATATCACTCTCAGACTTAAATTCTAATATAATATCCCTTTATCCATTTCTTGGGCATCATTGAATACACAACTGATTTGAAATCAACATAGTAATCAATGATTAATCCTCTAAAATATTATTGAGGAGCCTGCTGGCCATTTTATTCTTCAATAATATTAAGTTCGAAATTATTTTAAATTATTAATTTTAGGTCTACTGTATTTTTACATGGCCCCAAACAGCCCTGGCCCCCAGTGCTTTGCACTGGCTGTTATGCCTGCGCCACAATTTGTATTAATAATTTTTATGGGTTTCTTTCACAGCCTGATGAACCTTCAAGACCTATTCCATTGCCTGGTTTGATCACGACTTTACTCCTAGCTGGTGTGCAGAACCCAGCACTTGCTGTCATTTCTAAGATCATTAACACTGTAACACAGTTTCTAACCAATTTTGCTCTCTTTCTTTTCTCATTTATTTGTGCTCATTGTCTTTTAGAAGTAGTTATCTGATAGAAAAACACCCAAGTTGCACATTCTGATTCATTTTATTAAAAGAAGTGATATGTTGTTAATAGCATGATAAGAACTCAAAATGCAGTTGTTTGTGGATCATTGTAAAAATGGGAAATGTTGAAAATGTTTTTATGATAATGTAATGATCTTGCTAATAATTCATCACTCTAATGTTGAAATTAGAACTAAGTAACTGATTTGAAGTTCAGTAACTGTTAAATTAAAGATTTGTTTCAGTATTCAGTGATAATTTTTTAATGATTTAGTTAAAATGTGTAGCTGTAAGTCGAATAAGAGTCTGTCTCAAATAAGCATCCTCTTTTAAATACGGTAAAACATCTATTAGAAATCCAGTACAGTACTCTAATAATGATATGGAAATTGATATGGTGCACAATCTGCCTCGAAGAAAGAGTATGCTCACAGTGCATATTTCACAGTTGTTAAAAGACTGCTTTGAAAAGAATTTGCTGATTAACACTATCAGTGACCTATGTTTTAGGCTTAGTAGTAAACCAGTGGAGTCACTATTGAAATTACCAAAAAACAGAATTATAAGCCCACAAATGTAAGTAATTGCATGAACATTCCATCCCCTATGAAAGTTGGTTGTCACTGTATAAAAGGTCTATTAAACATGGAAAACAAATTATTTCTTTTCTATAAAACATATTTAAAGTTGTATAAATAATTCCATTCCTACTGTACTGTATACAGTATTTTTTTTTTTTTTTTTTTTTTTGTGAAGGAAAAAAAATCTCACTCCATTAAAAAAAAATCATAGACAATTATTTGTTAAGGAAGAGCCAAAACATTGTTTTGAAAGGCCACTTTTCAATCAGTAATAAATTGATGAATTTGATACGTAAATCATGAATTTTATAGTCCTTGGGTGTTAATTTTACCAAATCGTATGTGGTGGTTGACCTATAGGCCTGAAGGTAAAGTAATTTGCTGACCGACTACCAACTCCGATTTCCAAATACCACTGAGCTTGGGCAACAACAATTTTCGTACCTATGTGTTTTTGCCAAACTATGCACACAACAGTCGTCGGCCGACACAGTTTTGTCGAGAACACAAAGCGTTGCAGGCACAACAAATCTTTTTTAATTGTAATGCGTTCAGGCTGCGCTGACAACCAGCAGACGACGACGTCTTGCGTACAGTAGCTATTGCAGGAGCGTAGTTTTTGTCGGTCGATGATTGTATGATAGTCACATGACGCAGTGTGTGCCCGGCTTTGGAATTTATAGTAGTGATCATAATAATTATGATTTATAGATCTATATGTTAATACAGTACTAAATATATAATTATATAATAAGTTGCTACAATAATTATGTTTGTAATAGTGATGTGTACAAAATCTTAACAAAAATAATGCTGTACAAATATTTAAGGTGTTTTCTAATGAATATAAAGAATGTATAAAGAATGATAATATTTAGATAATTATTAATGATAATATTTGTAAAATTAAAGTGAAGCCAAGAGTATATAGA